GAAATTATGTCAGGAGAGTGAAGCCAGATTGCACCGTCTTACTCCAGGCACGATAAAAGGTTACCACACAGTTCAGATAAAGTTTATTTACAGTATACATGCAAGAAATCACATGGTTAATATACGAGTGTACAGAGCTATACATATACACAACCACAAAGACGCACGACGACGTACGTCATAATGTGCGCTTGGAAAAATGTTTGAAGATTGGGAGCTTATATTTTGTACCTTGTTTTTGGAAATAATAAAACTTGAAACTAAGCATTCACTCCACTAGTCGAAGAGCAAGAGAGATAGAGAGGAAGAACTTCATTCAAGTGAAAATTTTCACACGGGAATGGCGGTCAGGCCATGCCTGGCCGCCAGTCGGCTCTGAAATAGAAATGAGTGTTAAACTCGGACAAACCACACAATATAACAAAGCTGGGGTTTTACGTCAGAAAACCTGGACATTGTTAGGAGGGACGCCGTAGTGGAAGGCTCCGGAAATTTCTACCAGCTGGTGCTCTTTAACGTGCGCTGACCTCGCACAGTACAGGGGCTTTTACCACTCCGCCTCCACCGAAATGCGCTGCCGCAGCCGGGATTCGAACCCGCGACCTTCGAGTCAGCAGCCGAATACCCTTTAGCCACTGATTCACCGAGGCGGACCAGAGGAACCGCATAGCGACAATCAATCGCAGCGCCGCAGTCCCCTTTAGTTAATTTGAGGAAACTCTATATGCCGAAACCCAGTCTCTCCGTTTTTTCTTCTTTTCGGATGGCGGTGGGAGGGGGGGGGGGGGGGGGGCTCTCTTTTGTGTTGCAAGTGCGCGTGGTGAAAGCTAGTAGTGCCAACGCGAACGGAACGTTTTGTGTTTAAAGTGCGACGCATTTTTGCTTTTTTTTTTTTTTAAGGGGCGAAGTTTCTTAGGGCTGAGTCTTGTCGGCATCCATCATGTTTCAGAAAACCGAATCCGCAACTGAACAGCTGCACAAGGACAAAAAAAAAAGTGTAATACCGGTGTCACACGGGCACTTCTAATCGCTATCAAGGTGATCCGGATCGGTGTTCTTAACCGGGATCAACTTCATGGCCGCTGCTACACGGCCCAAGCTAATCTGGTTCGAGCTTGGAACATATAAAATGGACAATTTGGCGCTTGCGTGCCGTAAAACATGTCATTGACAAAACTCAACATACGATGTTTCTGTAAAACCCTTTAACAGTAATGTTAATCGTGCGAGACCCACTAGAACGTCAAAAACTGCGTGCCATTGCAAAAGTAATTCCAAAATCCATCATTCAATGAATTTTTTTCCTCTCACTTACCGGTATTGCTGTGTGAGATTCTTAATATTCTTTTATTTTTGATGACACCTGCTTGCAGTCGTCTAGTTGCAGCGAAGCAGTAGTATCGCTTTACACTGGCGCCTCAAGTATCCCATTCGCTCCTGCCAGCGGTCAATTACTGCAAAGGTCTCTTCATTCAGCCACGAAGTGCACCTACGCTGCGACGAAGTAAAAAAACTGGAAACACTCAATCAATTTACTTTGAGGTGCTCCAACTGCTCCAACGGACCGAGAGTTGCGTGAAACTAAGCGCGGAAGACAACGGTCGTCTGCTTCTCCCATAACCACATGCAAAATATGCGATATTTCAGACATTGTTCCAATTAAAACAGTTTACGATTTCTTTTTTTAATTAACAATCTAGCTTTTCAAATGTATATTTATTGAACTATGCACGATTTTCTTGTTTACTGTGCTTCCAACAAGCTTGGCCAGGAGGCGCAGACGACAGCGAAATCACAATCTTTAGGCTAGATCGCAATGGGCGGATCGCGATAGTCTTGATCCCAATCGGACCTGATCGCGATTAAAAGGGACCGGGTAGCAGCACCTAATCTGGATCGTGGTTAATCCGGATCGGCACTGATTAGAAATGCCCGTGTGACACCAGCATCATATACCTACTTAATGTGTACATTCAAGTATGTGACAGCACAATACACTATTACCTGCACCGCCCTTCTGTTCGTCCATCCATCCATACATTTGTCCGTCCTTATTACTAGTCAGCGACTTCAACGTAGCCATTATGAACCTTACACACAGCTTCGCCCACTTTTTAGTCATCGTTTACTTCGTGGAAATGCGTGATTGTTCTTTTTTATGCCGAGCGGCCGTGGTAGAGTGTGAAGTTTTCTAAATTGCTAAACTTTATCTTTAAATTCACATAAATTATTGCGATAGCACTCAGAGCTCAATTTCACGTGAATGTCGACGTCGGACTGATGTTCCGCGTAATGTCCGAGGGCGACAAGACCGCCCCAAGCTCATTAACTCAAATTTCGCGGCACTGGAAAAACTGCCCGAATCCAATCTATCGAAGGCATCAACAAAATAATAAATAAATGTCTATTATGTCAATATGAATTCTCTCATTTTCTTGAGGAATGCGTAAATCCACGTATCGAGTAATTATTTTGCACGTGAGCAGTGCAAAAGCCACAATTTTCGCCATTTTGCGACTTCACCCACAACGTGTACACTCACGTCCTAATCCGAAACTTGCTCTCAAACCGACCTTTCAAATACGAACTATATTACGAACCAAAACGCTATTGTGGATGGCGACCACACCTCCCCACATTTTTGACGCTTCGTGCTCCGAGGATCGTCTGAATTAACCGTACTGCCATCTCAGGTAGCTGAGATAGCAACCCGTATTTGTATACGGGTTGGTTTCACTTGTATTTAAAAAAAGATTATAGCTTTATACTCTAGCGTGTATTCAAACGAACACTGTGTTACATAGCCGCAGTCGTACGGATTTCGCAGCAGCAGTCTGAGCAGCCAATTTAAGTTTGCATTTATAGTACCACGTCTATGCTCCACACACGGGAAAAGATAGGCGTACAGACAGTACGGGCTTACCTTCATAGTTTGCATGAGCTGTTTCCATCGAATGCCACGCGTACCCAGACCAGACACAAAACCACTGCCACTCATCCCACTGCCACTCATCCCACTCAGTACCGCTGCCACTCATCCCTATGCGAGCCAATAATCACCACGAATTGAGAGTTACCGACACCACATCGCAGTACAAAGCCGTATCTCACCGTACCCCTGAACAGCCCGCGTACCGAATCTGAAGTCTTTATGGCAGCGGCTTTAATTTGGATTAGGCAGCTTATAGCCAATAAGACCAGGCAGTTTCGGTTTCCAAATCGCCAATCGTCTGTTGCGCAAAGGCGATACAACTCGAGTCGGGCTCGGCGCATGCGTGGTGCAATATATGCAAAAATGATAAGTTGTTGGGGTTTAACGTCCCAAAACCACCATATGACAATGAGAGACGCCTTAGTGGAGGTCTCTGAAAATTTTGACCACGTGGGGTTCTTTAACTTGTGCAAACGGGCCTCAAGCATTTTAGCCATTAAAAATGCGGCTGCCGCGGCCAAGATTCGATCCCACGACCTGCGGGATCAGCAACCAAGTGCCTTAGCTCACAGAACGCCACGGCGAGCAAGCAAAAATGGTTGTCAGGTGCAGTTCAGCACACAATTTCAATCACTGCCACTTATAGCACCTGCAGTTACCTACCTTACCTATGCAACTCCACGACCCCCCCAACACACTTTGCATGAATCATTCACCGCGGCGGTCCTTTCAGAGCCATCCTCCTCTATGGTGTCCCCCATAATCGTTTAGATATACTAGTCAATTAAGTAGGCTCACACAAACACACACGCACACACAATAAGACGAGCAGCTACAACATGGGCTCATTGGTATTGCATGTTGGGTAATCGAACTTCTAACGTATAGGGACGGACTGAACACCACCACACAGTAGCGCGTGGTGTATTCAGTCCATCCCTGTACAATAAAAAGCGCGATTACCCAAAATACACACGCTTGCACACACACACTCACACAAACAGAACATGCAGAGGTCATTTCCCCTCTTCATTTATGTTAGATTGGCTTTAGCCCGTTACACATCCTGGTGGTGCAGGACAATCCCATTTTCTTTTTAGTTACCTTCATATATAGGGGACCAAAAAGCACACACACACACAAGACAGCTTGGAAGTATCAAAATTCACTACGGCAGTTCTGGTCTGGTACTTCGAGTAGTGCAAGAGTGCTCGTGACCTTGATATAAGATGCAGTGCTTGAAGGTAGTCCGTGGCACATGCTTGACAGGTCACGGTAGAGAGCATGTGCATAACCTACTGCACTAGGCATTTTTGCAGATACTACACAGGATAAACTGAAGAGCAAAAACATAAAAGAAGCTTTTCATTTGGCATCTTTATTATTAGTTCGAGCAACTCAAATGCCGTGTCTTTCAGGAACAATGTCAATTTTGCAGTGATGTCACTAGCCAAGTTTCTGATTCCAGTATAATACAGCGGTTACACAGCAGTCATTCTTATCCTAACACTGTGTTGCTGTTATCCTACAGGCCTAAGGCAGTAACACCATAACGCTGCTTTAAATGCATGATGAATGACTGGTTGAGGAAAGTAGGCGACCCCTTCAGTCATGGGACATCCAACATTCTACATTGCACAAAGCAACACTGTCGCCAAAAGTGTTCGTCTCTGAATGCGGCTTCTGAGGTCACATCCTCGCATGACACCTTTCCTAGACATTTTGCATGATTTGGCTCCAGGCATGTCAGTGCCTACCGGTGACTGCATTCCATGGTACTTCTACCATGAACATCGCTCCTAAAAAAGTAATGCAGTCACCAAACAGCCTTTTGAGCAAACACGGCCAGCATGCACAGAATGCAAACCAACTAGACAATAAACATTATTTATGAGTTGCTGAATCAATTAGGTGTCATGCTGATTAAAATAAAACTAGCACATACACTACTATTAGGCAAGGTTTTTATATCCATTATAAACAGTGCATCTTCTGGAGTTATTAGCAAGCAAAATATAAGAGCTAGTTTTTTGTTTTATGAGATAAGGTGCCAGTGACTTCAAGGGGGTCGAAGATAGACATGTTCATTTATTACACAGAAATAACGCTATTCAGGAATGATTGCAGCAGTGATCACGTAAACTTGCAGTTAGAGAAGTCCATCTCAGGATGTTGTTCCATGAACCTAGAATGAAAAAATCGGGAAGACATATTGCAAAACTCTTCAAGAGCGTGACGAACATGATGCAAACTATCAACTGCGTCAGGATACTACAACAGCCATTGGTCCATAAGCAAAAAGCAAGACAATCTTTTTTTTTATTTTGAAATGCATTTTGTACATTGTGATGCAACATCATTTACATTAAAGGGTCACCAAAGGGAAATAAACTCGTATAGCGATTGGTGTCATTCTAAATTGTGCGCTAAATGCAGCTCCCCGACCGTGAAACCTTAGAACTGCATAGCACAGGCACCAGTAATTCCCGTCCGAAGAGTTCTTACTGTTCCTTCAAATCAGACAAAACTGGAAGGTCACCAAGGCGAAAATCTGCGAGAACGGCGCGCGCTACTTTTTGTGGCACTTTACTTGACTTCCTGCTTGCGACAACAGTTGAGATAAATGTAGCCTGCAACAACGAAGGCACCTGAAAAGTGCCGATGGGAGGAGAAATCGCGCGCACAGCGAGGCGCCCTCTCTGGCACATCAGGCATCGGTCACTTGTTTCCGAAGCCTTTTGAATAATTTAACGATAATTATAGCAATCACTTCTTGGTTGTTTCTGTTACCTATATTATTTGAGACCTTGTTCGTTCATTTAAACCTGGTTTTGATCCTTGCTAGCCTTGTTTTAGGCCTCTATTGACCACTTGATTTTGGGTGTGATCATGCTTCACGAGACTTACGGATGAACGGCAAACCAGACCCCCGAGGGGCTACGCACTTGGAACGGTTTCTCACGGTTTAGTCAATGACCATTTCACAATACCAAAGGAATAACTACTGCTGCAAAAAGACGCAAGTAAGGGAGCAAGTGCGCAAAAATAAAATGCACGTGGTGCCTTGACGTTTCCTCACAGAGTCACTGTAGTGTCACAGATTTTGACAGCATTTATCTGGGGCCTACGTAGCTCCTAATTGAAAAAAAAATTTAATAAGGAGCACGTTGTCTGTTCTCTGCAAGGGCCAGAGATTTAAAGTACCAAACCGCAAAAAATTTTATGGGATTAATGTGGCCAAACAGCAAATAAATTATTTACCCACGGAAATTCATGAGGCCACACTGGCATTCATGTGCAGATTTTCGGCACGAAATCTACAGAGAAAGATTTTCTGTTCTAGTAATACGCTTATCAGGTTGAAATTAATAAAAGTCGTTTTCAAAGATAATCTATCAGGAAATGACTCGTTTCACTTTAATGTCCCTTTGATTAAACCATTTAAATAACACATTGCCATTGTAGGCCGGTGGGTGAATATGCCTGTGTAGGAGTTTTCAAACACTGTTTCAAGGAGCAAAAACATTTTGGCCTTAATTTAGCATTGACAAGTGACAACTCGAATTCCCCTAGATTGATGATTAAAAAAGTAGAGAAACAGGATGTTTTCTTAGAATAGAAAATTTATTCTACTGCCAGTTCATGCACTTCTACAAATGCCTCAATTGTGTGTGTGTGTACATATCTGGGGTCGTTACCTAGTCAAGCTACATTCAGACAGAGAAGCTTCAGCCGTCTGAAAAGATCACATTTCCACTTTTCGGTCCGTGGAAACATTTTCTAGTCGACATAGAGCAGATATCCTGCTTTTGCTGCACTCGCAGTCACAGGCATGCGCATGCATAAAGGCAAAATGCAGCTGTTTTTGGTTTTCACTGTGCGAAACTACTTTCACTTGACATCAACGTTCACAATAACCAGTGGGACATCACTAGTTTCACTTCACAAGCCTACAAAGTTCAACGTGCACAGCTCAGTGCAAAGGTATTCTATGCAAACTCGTGGTTCATCCCCAGCATGTGATAGCGATGACACTGTGTCTGCTTCTCCTGATGGGAGGCTGTTGGCAACGCGGTTTCAGTTTCGTTTTCATGCGCAGGCAATTTGCAGATTTTGTTTATCAGTAGAAAGATGCACATTCGATACGATTTTTAAACGTTGAGAATAAAGATTCAACCATCTTTATGGTCGTTAGCTGCCACTGGCAAGAATAATTTATTCTACCTTCCTTGCAGAGGCACAACGTCGTTCCATGGGCTTATTCGGGCTGTCTGTACCCGTTTTTTGGGAAAGGCTGAGTGTCACTGCCTATAATATCAAGTATTTATATTATACAACACCCTTATTACACGACAGATTTGCGTGGTTCCCTGAAAGTAGTATAATTGATGTTTCGCTGTAGCTTGTTGTTCGTAGTGTTACACATCACTCTATGTTTCTCAGCTTCTGCGCAAAGCAGCAACGACAGCTTTTCCTGGAGCTTCAGTACTGTATACACTCACCTAACGGCAGCATTCATGTAATAGCTACACCCAAAACTTAGTTTTAAGATTGTCCCCCCAAAAACATATTTAAAATTTGTCACGTATTAGCTACACCCTTAAAATTTAGAAACGTCAGCAGCATCATCTATCATGCAGTGTGAAAATTCTGAAAGTTTTAAGGGACACTGAAACTAAAGAGAAACAATATCTTGGTTCAGATTGACAAACTGCATTTCGAGAACTTTAATGTTATATGTTTTATTATTGTAGTGGAGCATACACACCAACGCGTATGCGCCTTCGGAAGAGAACGAAAAACCCCATGCTCTGATTGCGCGAGAACCTTTGCCGCCTTTGCCAGACTTGCCGTACAGCCATTTTTCGTTGCGACCTCTTTGCGACTTCTCTGGTTGAATAAACATCATCACATTTGGTGGAGGTTGCCGAGATCTACAAGCAGACCTGGAACTCCGCTCTCGCAAGTTGGCCGAGAGACCACCGCGAAACATGACTGACGCAGTTACCAACCAGCCCATCCTAGCCCAGCCAGCACCATCGGCTGCCCCGTCTACCTGCCCCGGCGCTACCCGCCAACAGGACCCACCAATCTTAAGCGGCAGTGGTGAGCAAGACGTCGAAGACAGGCTCTCCTTGTACGAACGCGTAAGCGCCAGCAACAAGTGGGACGATGACTCTAAGCTCGCCTACGTTATATTTTACTTGGCAGACGTAGCTAAGCTTTGGTATACCAACCGCCAAACCGCCATCGCCAACTAGTCCTCCTTTAAAACCCTTGTGACTGAAGCGTTCGGCCGACCAGAGGTCCGCAAGCTTCGCCCTGACCAGCGTCTACGCCACCGAGCCCAGCAGTCTGGCGGGACGTTTACTAGTTACATTGAGGATGTGCTCGACCTCTGCAGGCGTGTTAACCCATCAATGCCTGAAGAAGAGAAAATTCAGCAGATTCTCAAGGGTATTGAGGATGGCGCATTCCAGATGTTGCTAGCAAAAAGCCCGACCACGGTGGCAATCCTCGTAAGCCTGTGCCAGAGCTTCGATCAATTGCACCGTCAGCGTTCCATCGCCCGACAGAGTGTCCCACCACCACATTCGATCTCGGCCGTCGCACTCGCAAATGCCAACGTTTGCCAAGAAAGTCTGTCCAACCAGATCAAAGACTTCATCAGGGAGAAAGTCACCTGACAGCTCTCCCAGCAGCCGCATAGTGACGCGCCCACCGCAAGCCTGCCTTCGACACTGCAGCAGGCCATACGCACTGAAATTTGCGATGTCCTCCCTACAGTGCCGGCCCGTTACCTATGCAGTTCAGTAGCATCTAATCTCTCAACTGTCGGCTACGCACCACCTGCGCCACCTTCACCTCTCAGCTACGCAGCTGAGGTCGCACGGCCCCCACCGCATCCAGTCTCCTTATCGGCTCCACCTCCTCCGGCCTCGCCTCCAGTTTACAGGCCCCCAGCTTGCTTTTTCCGTCTAACTAATGAGTGGCGCACCAGTGACAACCGTCCTATCTGCTTCGCGTGTGGCATCGCTGGCCACATTGCACACTTCTGCTGCCGCCGTCCCACACCTGCGTACGCCTCCTTTGGAACTCCTACGTTCACGTTGCCGCAGGCCACCACGTCTGCATATGAACAGAGGCACTCCGACTCGGATCGTCACCCATCAACTGCTCGTCTCCCATCCCCTCGTCGCCGATCAACATCACCTATGTGTCGTCCACCACCTCCTGAGGAGGGAAACTAATCAGTGCAGTTCCGGAGGAAAGAACTGCAACTTCTGGGCAATTCTCAAGGCCTCCATTTTCGCCGCAAAATGTTGTTGATGTCGACGTTGAGGGAGTCGCCACACCAGCGTTAATTGATACTGGGGCCGCCGTTTCTGTGATGGACGCAAAATTTTGTCGCAAACTGAAGAAAGCGACCACATCTCTCTGTGGCATGGTGCTGTCCACGGCTAGCGCGCAACGCATTCATCCCTCGGTTGTGTGTACGACGCGCATCGTCATCCAAGACGTTTTGTACATAGTCCAATTTTTCGTTCTACCATCTTGCTCTCATGACCTCATCCTGGGTTGGGATTTCTTATGTCATAAAGCTATAATCGACTGTTCCCGTGCGGAAGTGTCCCATGTGCCAATGTGTGAATTTCCATCGCCCGACCGTTCTCCTATGCTCTGCAAACTCATCGCTGACGACGACATCACCTTGCCTCCGGAAGCTTCAGTCCCTATTAGCCTTTCATGTGTGGCGCAACCTGATGCCACGGTGGTGTTTACGCCACCTCCGGCTTTTACTGAACGCGAGGGCATCGTTCTCCCATTTGCCGTTCTTACAATTGCGTCTGGTTTAACCGTAATGGTGGTTACCAACCACTGCAACTACCCCATTGGCTTACACCGTGGTGAAACCTAAAGATATGTGCAACCTGTCGATTATATCAATGATATTATTCTTCCCGACAAAACCACATGTCCCATTGCCACAATCACTCATGCGTCTGAGCCATCAAGTTCGTCAGCCTTCGACAATGCTATTGACGCAGACCTTCCCCCCTCGCATCGCCGCCAACTTGTTGCGCTCCTTAACAAGTTTCGCTCTTCTTACGACTTTCAAGAACCTGCTTTGGGCCGCACCACGACTGTCACTCATACTATTGACACCAGCTCACATTCGCCTCTGCGACAGTGTCCTTACCGCGTTTCCACCGTAGAGCGCCGCATCATTACGAAGCAAGTAGATGACATGCTTAAACGTGGAGTCATACAGCCTTCTCTAAGCGCTTGGTCATCACCTGTGGTTCTGGTAAAAAAAAAAGATGGCACCATTCGATTTTGCGTGGACTACCGCCGCTTAAACAAGATTACGACGAAAGATGTCTACCCGCTACCACGAATAGACGATGCTCTTGACTGTTTACAAGGCGCCGAGTACTTTACATCCTTCGATCTGCATTCTGGGTATTGGCAGGTGCCAATGGCTGAGTGTGATTGCCCTAAAACAGCCTTTGTAACACCGAATAGCCTATATGAGTTTAAAGTCATGCCATTTGGGCTCAGCAACGCGCCTGCGACATTTGAGCGCATGATCGATACCATCTTGCGCGCCCACAAGTAGAAAACTTGCTAGTGTTACCTGGATGACATCGTAGTCTTTTCAGCTGATTTCCCGACACGTCTTGGTCGTCTCCACGAGATTCTGACGTGTCTAACTTCTGCAGGCCCAGAACTTAACACCAAGAAGTGCCACTTCGCAGCACGAAAACTAACCATCTCCGGACATGTCATCACAAGAGACGGTGTTCTTACGAATCCCGGTAAGCTTCGAGCTGTCGCTGACTTCCCAATGCCCACATAACTGAAAGCTCTAAGAAGTTTCGTTGGTCTCTGCTCCTACTTTCGTCGCTTTGTGCGCAACTTTGCGTCCATCATCGCACCTCTGACAAGCCTGCTTTCCAACAGCAAAGGTATATCTGCATGGTCACCTGCATGTGACGACGCATTTCGCCAGCTGCGCCGCCTGCTGACCTCACCACCTATTCTTCGCCACTATGACCCCACTGCTGCCCCAGAAATTCACACCTTGCAAGTGGCGTCGGTCTTGGTGCAGTTTTGGCACAACGGAAAGGCACCCAAACGGAATACGTAGTCGTTTATGCAAGTCGCGCTCTCAAGAAGGCTGAATTGAATTACTCGGTGACAGAGAAGGAGTGTTTGGCCATAATCTGGGTGCTGACGAAGTTTCGCCCGTACCTTTATGGCCGTCCTTTTGACAGGGTCACAGACCACCACACTCTATGTTGGCCGTCCACCTTGAAAGACTTGTCCGGACGCCTGGGGTGTTGGGCACTTCGATTGCAGGAATACGACATCCGTGTCGTATATCGTTCCGGTCGCAAGCATGCAGATGATGCACTTTCCCGATCGCCACTAACACCATATGTGGCTTCTCTGTCACCCCTTTTTACCACCTTGTCACCACTCGACACCAATGACATGCTTTCAAAGCAGCGTAAAAAGCCATACTTTGCCTTGTTACTCGACTACCTTACCGATTCGTTTGCTGTCCCTTCCACGAGAGCACTACGCCGGCAAGCAGCCCACCTTTCCACGAGAGACAACATTCTATACCGCCGCAACTACATGCCTGGTAGTCGGAATTGGCTCCTTGCTGTTCCTACTTATATGCGCTCTGAAATCTGCATGAATTTCCATGCAGATCCCCAAAGTGCTCACGCAGGTGTCCTGAGAACCTATGAAAGGCTGCGCAACGATATTACTGGCGAGGAATGTATCGCTTTGTGCAAAAATACCTTGTCTTGCACCACTTGCTAGCAGAACAAGACACCTCCACGGCACCTTACTGGCATATTACAGCCGCTCCCGTGCCCGGCTCACCCATTCGACCGCGTGGGTATCGGCCTCTATGACCCCCTCCCATATAGTGGCTCTGGAAACCGATCATCTGACACGCTACGCTGAGACAGCACCTCTACCGGCAGCTACCGCCCACGAAGTTGCACTCTTCATTCTACACCATAATTCTCCACGGGAATTACTCAGTGATAGGGGTCGAGTGTTCCTGTTGGAGGTCATCCAAGCTATTCTCGCTGAATGCAACATCATCCACCGGAAATCTACCGCATACCATCCACAGACAAATGGTCTCACTGAGCTGTTCAACCGCACACTTGGCAACATGCTGAGGATGTACACCTCCTCCGCCCACACTAACTGGGACGCTGTATTACCTTTTGTTACCTTCGCTTATAACACCCCGACACAAGCGACTACCGGTTTTTCCCCTTCTTTCTGTTGTACGGCCGCGAACTTTCCCACCCACTCGACACTATACTCCCGTACCGCCCTGATGCATCTGAGTGATCCCCTCTTTCGGAAGTCGCCAGATACGCTGAAGACTGCCGTCAGTTGGCTCGGTCTCTGACAAGTGAGGCTCAAGGTCTACAAAAGACTCGACACGACAACGTTCACCACATAGCTCCTACGATTCGTGCTGGCTCCCTTGTGTGGCTTTGGGTGCCCCCGCACGTTCCTGGCCTGTGTTCTAAACTTCTGGCCCGGTACCATGGTCCGTACTGTGTCATTGACGCAACCTCCCCAGTGAACTACATCATCAAGCTAACACAATCACCAGATTTGCGCCGTTGAGGACGCGAGACCGTACACGTCGACCGTCTCAAGCCGTACTACGACCCCCTCATTGTGCCTACTCCCTGAGTCACCAGGATGGCTACTCTTCGCCCCGGGGGTATTGTAGTGGAGAATACGCACCAACGCGTATGCGCCTTCGGAAGAGAACGAAAAAACCCACGCTCTGATCGCGCAAGAACCTGTGCCGCCTTTGCCAGACTTGCCGTACAGCCATTTTTCGTTGCGACCTCGTTGCGACTTCTCTGGTTGAATAAACATCATCACACTATCATAAATTCATTATTAGTAGAAAAAATCAAGGTTCAAGTTTCATTTTTAAATCTCATCCCCGAATCTCCGTGCGTGACATCAAAAATTTTTTAATGTATTTTCGTTTTTGCAACATTGGCTCGATCAGATTTTTTTGAAACTTCGTATGCTAGGTAAATGGCACCCAGAGAGGACAATGTACTTCATCTTCATTCATTACAAGCTATGCAGGACCTAGTAGACACCTTAAAAATCTATGAGCTCAGTGTGTATGGTGCAGGAATTTTAAAGTGGCATCTACATTTATATTTTCTTTTTGCGCGTTTTCTCCCTTACAAAACGCCATGTTGCGGTAAGAGTTGTGTTTTTGGGATTTTGAAATTGTACCTGGTTTTGCTCTTTATAGTCCCTTAAAAAAAAAAGAGGGAGAGTGAGAAACAAGGCACCTATGCTGAGTTCTCAGCAGCTGCAGGTGTCAAAAGAATATTTTTTTTAGGTTTAGCAACTGCCTCCAAGGCACTTCTATCCACCAAACACCGACCCAATTTCTGAGGAGGGCATCACTTGTGGATGCGTGAATACCCAAGTGTGGGGCGGGGTTTTCTTCAGACTATGGAGGAAAGCTTTGAGGTCATGTTAATCTCGAACAAATTCAACGTTGGACGGCATCAACCAAGACAGAGCGGAGCTTGAGGATTAATGGGATGAGTAAAGAGGAAGACAAGGGCGAGCAATGGCATTTTTGCAACTACATGAACATGTCAAAGGCTGTTTTTTGCTTTCCCCAATATAAGGGAGTACTGCAGTTCAATAAAGGCAGGTAGCTTAGCAAATGCCCAAAAAGAAAATAAAAAAGTTGTGCCTCTTTCTCCTTGCAATGGTCACACCTGCGATTTTGACCCAAGATCTCGAGGTAGGCGGGCGACACGTTTTAGTAAAAAACTGCGGCAATTACGATGGTATACTTAGTACTAAACAAAAAAAAAAACTAACTCCAGGAAGAGCTCACAAATACGTCCACTTGTAAAACGAAACTTAAAACGAAGGCTGCTTCATTGCCAAGCTTTTAGAAATTAGGCTACCTTACGAAGTTCAAAATATCAAACTAGGTACATTTTACTAACCGACCCTCAATCAGAGGCAGGTAGGCAAGGTGCCCATGTACTCACTTCTTAAGAACATCCTGTTTCTTTTGATCATCTGAGGTTGGCAGACCCATTTCGCGCTGCCTCTGGTCGTACATCATTTTCTCCACCATGCCCCGTGTTTCTCCATCAAGGTCCGAGAGCTGCACAAGCAAAGCCGCTCAGTTACATGAAGTTCAGAGTTTTATGAAAGCAATAATTCACTGAATTCACTCTCTAGACGTTGCACCACTTGTCCAGCACTAGTTGCAAGTTTATTGCTACAAATCAAACCAACAAGCCAGAAATAATGATTGGGTTTTCACGTCACAAAACAACCATATGATTATGACAGATGACATAGGGGTGTCACACCGGTCCCGTTAATTAGGGAGGCAATCGCCGGGCTAATTTCAAGAGCCGAAGTATCGGCCCCCCGAACCGCACCACGAAAGCGTGGACAATTTAGAAGTGGTCCTTTTTGGCGCGCCAGCGGACGCCGGCTGTGGCCCAAAGAACAAGTCAGAGCCGAGAGTTGATAAACAAACAAATTATATTCTCACTAATGGCAGATCGAAAACAATACACAAAAATGCACACTCCACAATAGTTGCATACAATATGTCACCAATCAAACCAATCAATCAACGTACTACACAATACAATCAGCCACACTTGAAACAACGGACACGGACAACAATACGCACTACAATGCAGTCGCATGCATTGAACAACCAAGACACTTAAAGGCTAAAGAGATAGAAAACCTATTCAGTCCAAAGTTCTTGGAACCAAAGTCTAGGTGATACTCTTCCGAGAATCACTCACTCAAAGTCCAGCGTTGTTGTCGTTCCGCAGCCCTCGAGGTTTCTCTTCCAGGAAACCTCCCGTCTTCAATTGGCCACTCTTCAAACTTCAACTTCTTCGCCGGAACACGTCGGCTTCACACCCGCAGCTGTTGCCACGCGTCCTCGCTCGATAGCGGTAGACACACGCTCTTGCCTGTAGCTCGAGCCTTCACCCCTCAGGTGGAAATCCTCTTCATCTCCTGCTTCGTCCCTACGGACAAACCTTCGCCGACTACACGGCGGTATACCCTACGCGCTCTGGCGCTAACTTCCGTCTCCTCCTGCTTTCTCATCTCGGCTGCTCGGTTAAATACCTTGCGCGCGGCATTCCAGACGCTTCTCGTCATTTCGTCGGCGCGATACGCAGCGAAAGCTGGGAAGAGGGCGAGACGGTTGGAATGCCCTCTCCGGCCGATGAGTCAACTCGGTATGACCACGCCCCTTTCGTTCTGGAAAAATCGAGTGCTTGCTCGGCCGCCGTTGTGGGGTGAGGAGGTTCGTCGTGAAGCCACGCTTCTGCGGGGAGAGCGCGCGCCCGGGGAGCCTTGGACGTTTGCTTTCTTTTTTTTTTCTTTTGACCTCGCGGCGTTTCTCCCGCCCGTTATCGCAAGAATTTGGCGGCGCGCCCGTTTTTAGCGCTCGTTCTGTGACACTGCCCCCCACTTTAAGAATATTATCTCATAATATTCAAAACCACACAAACGAGCGCGAACAGTCACCACACACTCTCACAGACTGTAACATAGTCCGTCGCTCATGACTCGTCACATTCACAATAGATCACTTAATACAATTGTACATTGTAATTCAATTACACAACACGTGAAAACACAACCACAAGCACATGAGTACAACACTCCACCACACATTCCCAATAATACAAATGTACAAAGATCTCTCACTACAACAATGGCACAATACTATACATCACATCACAGCACAACACTTCGACACTTGTGACACAGGATACCACCATTAACACAACATATGGCACTCAGTACTGCCCAACACATTCTGATTCGACCTCAGCACTTATCCTGAGTACTTCGAGCAGCGCTTGCGCCCCTTTTTGCGGTGCTCGCTCGATCTCTTCTTGTGTTTCCACGTTCTTTTTCGGCGAGCCCTTTCCAACGACGATATCGGAGGCGTCGTCTCAGCCATCGCTGTCTCTTCCGACACCGTTAACGCGTCATTACATTCGACGGGTCCTGTCTGTTTATTTACCCGCTTGATCATACCTCTACATTTTGCCCGGCTGGCCGACTCCGTCTCCTTTACACTGTCGGTCGGTTGAGGTCGTGCCGACGTAAGTCCGGTTGCTCGGCCCGTGAACTTATTCGACACGATCGTCTTCTCCTTCGCTGTCTCTTGCGCCGCGGCTTCACCTTGGGCTCTAGTGAGATCCGTCACGGGCTGCTCCTCCACTGTATCTCGCGGCCGCTGTGTTGGCGAGGGCTCTATCTTCGGGTCTTCTCCCAAACATTCTGGATCACTTGGCCCTCGCGCCCCGTCGATGTTTCCGATGACAAGGTCGTAAAGGGGGGTCGTCATACATAGAGCGGTAACCTTCCCGCTGAAGTACGGGGTTTCAACCTCAATTTCTGCTTCGGGAAGCAGCCGAACTGTACGGTCAATTAGGCAAACCGGTTTCGTTCTGCCTGTCAACTCACTTTCCCGTACCAAATTTCTCCGCACGATAACAGTGGAACTGCCGGTATCTCTTAACACCGTAATCTTTTTGCCCGCAACTTTTCCAGGCAGCGTTGGCATTCCTTTCGTAACACCGGTTGGCTGTTTTGACATTACAGCACCCACAATGGGAATTTTCTCCCCATTCTTCAACTCTACGAATCCATCAGTGACGGCATTATTATTATCAGATTTCGGTGTCGCTTGCACACAAGATACCTGGTGAGTTTGACTCACTCCGTTCCGACAAGCGTCTGCTTTGTGCCCAGTCTGACCACACTTGAAACATTTCACTACCGTAGGGCTCGTAAAGATCGTTCGACAGTTTTTCGCGCGATGACCCACTCGGTTGCACAGAAAACATCGCGGAATGCTCTCTGGTGCACGCTTCTTTTCTTCGGGAGCCAATTTCTTCGAATCATCGGGACACTCCTTCTTTACCTTGGCCAAATTAGTGCCACCTTGCGCTTCCAAGAATTGATCAGCCAATTCAAGCATTCCTTCAAGTGACTCAGCCTTCCTCTCTTTCAAATACAGCGACAGGCTTGGGTGGCAACTAGTAAGAAATTGTTCTCTAATTAGGAGCTCTCTAAGTTCATCGTACTCCTGCGCTGTCCCTGAAAGTTCAATCCATCTGTCGAAATAATGGCAAAGTCGGGCGGCATACTGCGTAGCCGTCTCACCATCAGCTGGCTTTCCTGTCCTAAATCTGTCCCGGAATCCTTCTACAGTGAATCTAAATCGCTTCAGCAAAGCAGCTTTCACCTTTCCATAGTTGGCTGTATCGGTCGGCGTCAGCCTACCGTACACACTGAGCGCTTCACCACTCAAGCAAGTACTCAAAGCAGTTGCCCATTGATGTTCTGGCCAATTCTGGCTCTTCGCAATCGTCTCGAATCGGTGAAGGTACGCGTCAAGGTCGTCCTTCCTTTCATCAAACGCCACGAGCAACTTGCTTGGGTTCAAGCGGAAGCCATGATCCTCCCGTTCGCTGCTTTCAACTCTAGGTTGGACGGGAGTTTCAGTTCGCTGTTGCAAACGGAGCCGCTCGAGTTCCATCTCGTGCTGCCGCTGCCGTTCCCTTTCAGCCATCTCCGCTTCTCTTTCTTCTTTCGCCCTCTCAGCTGCCAGTCTTTCTCTCTCCATCTCCAACTTCAATTGCTGCTCTCTTTCTTCTCTCAGCTGTCGCTCCTTTGCCTCTCTTTCTTCTCTCGCCCTTTCGGCTGCCAACTTCTCTCTCTCCAGCTCCGCTTCTTTTTCCGCTTTGGCTCTTTCGACCGCCAACCTCTCTCGTTCCAACTCAGCTGGTTTTTCTTCCGTGGCTCTCTCAGCTGCCAACCTTTCTCTCTCCACCGCCAGAAGATTGCAGGTTCGAGTCCTGTCGCGGACGCCAGATTAATTGTCACACCGGTCCCGTTAATTAGGGAGGCAATCGCCGGGCTAATTCCAAGAGCCGAAGTATCGGCCCCCCGAACCGCACCACGAAAGCGTGGACAATTTAGAAGTGGTCCTTTTTGGCGCGCCAGCGGACGCCGGCTGTGGCCCAAAGAACAAGTCAGAGCCGAGAGTTGATAAACAAACAAATTATATTCTCACTAATGGCAGATCGAAAACAATACACAAAAATGCACACTCCACAATAGTTGCATACAATATGTCACCAATCAAACCAATCAATCAACGTACTACACAATACAATCAGCCACACTTGAAACAACGGACACGGACAACAATACGCACTACAATGCAGTCGCATGCATTGAACAACCAAGACACTTAAAGGCTAAAGAGATAGAAAACCTATTCAGTCCAAAGTTCTTGGAACCAAAGTCTAGGTGATACTCTTCCGAGAATCACTCACTCAAAGTCCAGCGTTGTTGTCGTTCCGCAGCCCTCGAGGTTTCTCTTCCAGGAAACCTCCCGTCTTCAATTGGCCACTCTTCAAACTTCAACTTCTTCGCCGGAACACGTCGGCTTCACACCCGCAGCTGTTGCCACGCGTCCTCGCTCGATAGCGGTAGACACACGCTCTTGCCTGTAGCTCGAGCCTTCACCCCTCAGGTGGAAATCCTCTTCATCTCCTGCTTCGTCCCTACGGACAAACCTTCGCCGACTACACGGCGGTATACCCTACGCGCTCTGGCGCTAACTTCCGTCTCCTCCTGCTTTCTCATCTCGGCTGCTCGGTTAAATACCTTGCGCGCGGCATTCCAGACGCTTCTCGTCATTTCGTCGGCGCGATACGCAGCGAAAGCTGGGAAGAGGGCGAGACGGTTGGAATGCCCTCTCCGGCCGATGAGTCAACTCGGTATGACCACGCCCCTTTCGTTCTGGAAAAATCGAGTGCTTGCTCGGCCGCCGTTGTGGGGTGAGGAGGTTCGTCGTGAAGCCACGCTTCTGCGGGGAGAGCGCGCGCCCGGGGAGCCTTGGACGTTTGCTTTCTTTTTTTTTTTCTTTTGACCTCGCGGCGTTTCTCCCGCCCGTTATCGCAAGAATTTGGCGGCGCGCCCGTTTGTAGCGCTCGTTCTGTGACAAGGGGAGGGCTCCAGAAATTTTAACCACCTCAGGTTTTTTAATGTGCATCTGCTCATGGGCATCTAGCATTTTGACTCCATCGTTATGAGGCT